GTCTACAACCTGTATTCATGTTGCAGTTAACGTTAAACGAACGTTTAATAAATACGTTGTAAAACAAGTATTTGTGGAGTTTTTTTTATTATAGAACTAACGTTAGAAAGGACATTAATATGAATTTAAATATAACGTATAGATAAACGTTATAAAAGAGGCAAAAACAATCATTAATTTACGTTATTAATAGACGTATATTAAACGTTCTAAATGTAACATTTCGAAACGTGTAATGATCGTTTTCTTAACGCCAAAATTAAACGTTTATTTATTAGTATTGTTAAACGTTATAATCTGCGACATTTTAAAGTTGATTGTACGTTATAAATATACGTAAAAACAAAATGGTGTTACGGTTTAAAAAAACGTTTAATTAACGTATATGTGTTTACTGGGTTATACACATCTCATATTTTCATTAAAACTTTGTAGTAGGCTTTTTAAAAAAGTGAAGTTTTTTTGTTTTTTTGTTTTTTTACAACACTTACTATGTTTCAGATATAAATATGTGAATTTTTTACTACATGATGCTAAAAGTTGAAAAAACGAGAAAATTTGATGGAAATCAAAGTTTGGCCTCGAATAACTCTGGAAGAAATCAATTTATAGAAAAATTATAAGAGACATTTCTTATAGAGCGTTAAATTTACTATAAAAATCGAAGATGGTCCTTGCCATAAGTTGATTCGATATAGACGTATAAAATTCCAAAGTTAAAAAAAAATTTCCTATGTTATTTAAATGGGAAATAGAAAATTGCGATCCGCGACCTCCAAATCTTCAAATTAAAAGCTCAAATTTTAACGAGGTCTTTGTTTTGACATCCTCTAAAAGAATTTGCTGACCATTTGAAGTCGATTTTTTTGAAACACCCTAATATATATTGTATAAACCCATTTTCAGCTTCATTTGAGGGTTGGATTTTAAAGTGGGCTCAACATTCGTGTGCGGGGATAGAGAGTGATGACGACGATGCAGAACTTGTCTGTGAATTGTGTAAGCCCGATAACCGAATTCTGCCCCGTAGGCGCCCCGGAGTAAAGGACACTTTTTTTGTTAAGCATTTATTTAAACATATATGTTAATTTTTTTTGTATTTTGTTTATACTTTAATAAATCGCTTTTTTTTTAACTTGTACCACGTCTCTACCCTACTAAAAATAATTTTTAAACGTTAGAGTCCTCATTCCGCCCTGGTCTCCCCTAGGTAGGTAAACTATTAATTATAGGTGAAAAAGTTAAAAAGCAATTTTATAATTTTATATTCCACACCCAAAAGTCCCACCTTGCCATATGAATACAAATAATTGAGGTTTTGTATCTGTCAGTTTAACGCTAATTTCGTCTTATTTTCTGAAAATAATACAAAATATGTATTTTTTGTGTATGAATGTCTTAATTTTTATTTAAATACCGACTTATTTGAAGATTTTGCATACTGTAACAATTTTTTATAGATATAAGAGTGAGAAAGTTTGTTTTTAGTTTTAATAAATATAAATTTTTAGTTTTAATGAATAAAAATTTATTAATCTACCACGAACGAATTACTAAAATTTACAAAATCATCAAATAATAAAGCCGAGTTTCTGGGAAATGACTGCAAATTATCTATTTATTGCATGAAATTACTACAGAAGAACTATATAATAATCCTTAAAAGTCTTCTCAAAATAAATATGTCCATTATATTAGGCTGTTAGTCGAAATACCCTCAAGTCAAATTTTTCGTTCAAAATATATTTTTTGGGTAAAGTTTCAGCACCCTCGCCGATTTGCCAAAGAATTTGTTTGAAAATTTTTTTGTCTCAAACATTAATTAACAAAGTATTAAGATACTTTTTTTTGAGAAATTAATATCTCCTAAAGTAATGCGTTGATTTTGAAAATTGAATCACCAATTAATTCAGATTTCAACGTAGTTTCGATCATTAATATTTATAACCTGTTTATATATTTTTTATGTTAATATTTATGAAAAATTGTAAAAAATTGTGTTCTTCATCGAAATTTGTAACGAAAAAAATAGTGTATACAAAAGAATCGTTATTAAATATAATTGCGTTCAGAAAAAAAATGAATATCCTCTAGAAATGGAGATATAAAAACATTTTTCTACAACCAAGCGCAAAGAACAAATTTGCGCTTCCAAAAAAGAAAGCGCAAAATTGCACTTTTTTTTTACTTTGTCGCTAATCTCAATTAAATTATAACCGTGATTAAATTTACCTTCGTTTGCACCATCCAATTTATAGCTAATCCTCTTTTAACTTTGATAAGGTAAAAAACGCGAAAAATGTGTGTTGGTATGTTGGTTATAACCCTACATTTTGCTGATAGGTTGGTACCACTGTAGCGTTCAAACGTTAAAAACGTCTAAAACGTGAAAACTTGTCATCTGTAGAATAATTATTTAAAGAGTATATCGTTTTGCCTAAAGCGGTGTGTAAAATAATGGACATTGCAAATTAAAGAAAAAAAAGTTGAATTAATAAATTTCGTTAATCAATAATTTACATTACAAATTAGCAAAATACTCGTTTTAAATTGTCTTCTGGCCAGCGTACCGGCCGCGATATCATTTTGGTCGTCATAAATATTAGGAATTTGTCCTTCTTCTATTAACCGATTCAGCACGTGGGTATCTAATTCATCCGGTATTGGTGGTGCTTCAAAATCTCCCATATCCAGCGCAATGTTATGGAGAACGGCTGCCGCCACGACAATTATTGTTATCCTTTCAATTTGCAGCCGACAACCATACGCTAGAATCGGAAAACGGCGTTTGACAACTCCAAAGCACCTTTCTATAACATTTCTGGTACGTATCTGCCGCTCATTTAATGCCAGTTCCGGCGGGCGTTCCGGACCCAAAAGAGGAGTAAATAAATAGTTCTTGTTCGGATAACCTCCGTCTCCAAGCAACAGGCAATTAGGAAATCGGCCAAACAAACCCCGTATTCTGCAATTATTGAAGATTGTAGCATCATGCACGGAGCCTGGCCACCTTGCCACCACGTTCAATATTGAAAAATATTTTTTTATGTAACGGTAAATTTCCGCAACGTCACCTTCAGGAGATTGTATCCTTTATATTGTAAGTAACCTTTATAATCTGTGATTATATCCGAATATGGGTGCAATAAATAGTTCCAACTACTTGAGGAAATGTGCCACATTGAATAATCGCTGTTGGTTTCTTCTAAATTCATCTGGAATAGTTGGAAAACGCACATATTCATTGTATAATCTTGCGATAGCTTCAGATACTCTAGCAACAATGCGCCAAACTGTTGACAAATGCATTCCCATATAGTCACCAATTGAATCCAAATGCCCCCCCCCGTTGAATAGAGACGAAGGCATGTTAATAATTGATTCATCGGCGTAGGTAACACAATTATTTCTAAAACGACGAATGATTGAAGTTGTAAACTAAATTATTTACACTGACCTATCTGTAGGATACTTCAATTGATCTTCGATCCTCACAAGAAGCTAATACACACAGAAACCGTTTTCAAAAAGTACTTTGGTCCAAAGTGTCAAAGTACGAATGCCTTTCATAAATTTGTCGCGAAACCCTTTTCAATGAAATCGACCAAGTATTTATTTTCTGATCGCACATGTTTTGTACTCAATGGTCGATGAAATTGTTTTGCACATGATATGTTTGCCGTCTTCACATGGTTTAAAGCAATTTTTTATTGTAATTGCTTTCTTAAAACGTGAGGTTAAAGCTTTAAGCTCTCGACCGTGTTCGTTTTCTGTGCAAAAATCAAAAGAAACTTTCTTAAAAAAATTGATTGCCCAATTATAAAAAACCTTGGACGTTAAAATTTGATCATTTTCAGGTGGTTGCAAACTTACACGATAAGCATACCGTCACAGGCACTTTTTCCGTGGGATGTTGCAAAAAAATTTCATTTGACATGACCAGTATATTTTATTAGGAATACAAGATTGACAAAATTAAACTTATTTTTATATTGAGACAGGAACCATCAGAGAAAAAGAACAACTTGTTTACATTTTTATCCCCATGAACCCCTTTAAATAATTCAGCATCTTTTTATTGAATAAGTTCACTGTCGTTAAATCGTGTTTTATACTCCGAAATAATTACGAAATTGTAATGAAGGGTTTTATTATTTTCTTTGTAATAAATTACATAGGGACGTATCGTAACGGTTGTTTGACCAATGAAAAGACTGAATTGCATCTTGAATAACAAAACTAAAATTTTTAGAAAAATCCAGAGATTTTGAAGATTTTTTTTCAAGTTATCAAGATACTCTGCTTGTGTTTTTGCTATGTAATCATGTTTCAAAAGCTCTTAAAAGTTATTTTTTCAGTCCATTAAAAAAATCAGCTTTTTCTTGGCAGAGACAGGAGCTCACATCTGTAATGAAGACGAGGGGTAAACCACTGATTTTTTGAAATTAAAAATCGCTTACGAAATAACGGCTAAGGATAACAATAACAAGGGTAGTCATGCGCAACGCGTCGCTAAGCACTGATGAAGCACTGATTAGGCAAGTTTTTCTTATTGATAACGACTGATAAGGAAAAAAAATCACAATACAACGTCCACTAACAGTGAACGTTGGTCTCTAACATTTTAAAGTGGTTTACCCCTCAAATGAATACTTACCCCTCGAATGAAGACCAACATTATAATAATTGCACTGTGACGTAAGAAACCCTTAAACAAAGATTTGTGACCTTTTACCTGTCTGTGTTTGTACATGATTTAAACTGGATTTTGTGATGTTGTGATCATCGAAAAGTTTTGAAAATGTTTCAATGATTGGCGAAACGCCGGGACAGTCTTTGCAATAAAGGAGAAAACACACTTCAGCCGATTTTTCGCATGAATGCCATAAAATGTCACGAACTTCATGATCACATTGGGCACTTCGCTTTTTTAAATAATCATTCAGTTCACCCTGATTCAGTCCAACAAACTTTAAATTCATGTTTTGACAAACACATACATTGTGAGTTCCACTTGGTCCGACAGGAATGCACCAACCAGGGCGAAGTTTTGTATATGCAGACCAACTTATTTTTACTTCTGTAATTTCTGCACAAAATTTGCGGTACAGTATTAAGCAGTAAGAACCGCTTTTGTATTTGTTCACGTGAACCGTCATTTTTCGAAACTGCATTTGATAAAGCGATTATGACTTCCTCTATCCACGCTTTAGAAACTAGGCTATGACTCTGCGATGGATTTAAAAATTTTGTGATTAATTAGGAATGAATTTTACAAAACTACAAAACTACAAAACAATATTTTTCATTAATTGTGAGCCTCATTTTTATCATTACTTTTCCTTTTTTTCGGATTTTTATTGCTCAATTTATAATCTGGAGAAGAGTCATCAGCTTTATTATCTGAAATTAATTGTATACTTATTTCGAATTCCTTATAATCTTCCTCTTCTTCAGGAGTATTGTCACTTTTACATTGAAACGCACTAAATGAATAAATTGAAAGTCTGCACGAGTCACACAAATATTTGCCGTTCAACTTTTAGTAATTGGGTTCAAGCAGTATTTAGCAGCAAATAAAAAAAGGATTTACGGCCATTCCAAGCCCATGGACAGGACACATCAGAAACATGTCTAAATATATTCTTGTTACTTCCTTAAGTTTACTTATTTTTTCTACGAGTATTTATGAAAAGTATTAGCCAAATTTGGCTAATACTTCTCATAAATACTCGTAGAAAAAATAAGTAAACTTAAGGAAGTAACAAGAATATATTTAGACATGTTTCTGATGTGTCCTGTCCATGGGCTTGGAATGGCCGTTTAGTAAAACGTCATTTATTAATAATATATTTTTAAGTAGCAAGTATCATTAAAATTCTTCTTTTTTTAACACATTTACTGCCCAAAACGCGCGTGGCGCGTTTAAAAGTACTGCGGCCATATGCCCACACCGCGCTAGGCGCGTTCTTAATAATAAATAACATTATTTTACAAGATTTTCCCATTTTATTAACAAGAACGCCTTATTATGATTTATGTTTATGTTTATAGGCACTGGACATGGTTTATCACTCAACCAGTGCCCACAACTGGTGCGTTTTTTGTTTTTTGCAAAAAATAAAATTGAAAACCTATACTAGAATTTATTTGAAACAAGATGCACTTATTTAAATAAAAAAATATGAAGAAAAACTTAGGTGGTACCTGAAGCAATACTCTTTTTTGGGGTGGGCAGTGAATGTGTTAATAGAAAATGTTTGTACCTTGATTATTTTATTTAGGCCAGTAAAATAAAGTGAGAACGTGTAAAAAAGCATTGCAAAACTATTTTAAGGGTTGCTGCTTATGTGTTAAGCTTAAAACTAAGAGATACGCAACCCAACAAATATTTTTTTAATGTAAGTCATTAGTTATGGTATACCATAAACCTAAACTAATTATATTTCAACAAGCATATATTTGCCTTGGCCACCACGCTAGTGTTGTTAATATGTTAGTAGCAACTTACTTGAAGTATTCCATACTTATATTCCATATCCAAAAAGTTGTAATCCCTAGCGTACGTAGGTCTGAGATTAGGCTGTTGCTGTTGCATTGTATTCATGCCGCTGTGGTTGATGTTGCTTTCCTGATGGAAGGCCAGAATATTGGCAAGACTTGAGTAGACCGGTTCGGAGGCGAACGCGAGCGTTTCGGCGCACTCTTCGATCCCGTGAACGACGTGCAGAATTTTCGGATGTCGGAAGCGTTCGAGCTGACGAACGGAAGCTCGGAGTATTTCGGTCACCGTTTCTTTTCGTTTCGGTTTGTGCAACTTTTCCGCTTGTCGTTTTTCGAACAGAAACACAGAACATTCCTGAAAATAAAAACATACATAAACAATTTTATTAAGAATACCATTAGGAACCTCAAAATAAAAAAGGTTTTAAAAAAAGACCTAATTAAAGGCAAATTTGGCATGTGAAAAAATTTATTTGCTATTATTATGTTTTGGTTAAAATGTATATGCTTTGGGTTAATAACGGCCATTGTTTGAATGTGAATTTATATAATTTTAGTAGTAGTATTTTGCGGCGTAGGTATATCGTCAAAAAATGTCCAATTAAGTACTTCAAATGTACCATTATCCTTTGTTATTGTAATGTCATTCTATCAGAAGGTTTCTTATTGTATTGAATCATTTTATGGAGTTAGATTTTGTCTGTCGTGTGTTGGGCATCACACTTTCATCTCTGGGACATTGCTCGATGAAAAGTTTGAAACATAGCTGACTTTGACCCAGGAGGGACAAAATGGAATTCCGGGTATAGAAATATACCTGTATTTTTGGACAATATCACAAGCTTTGACCTTCTAGCGATGTATTTTGTGATTTGTACAATACATTGAGTGGATGATTTAAAATTTGGAAAATTCACGCGTCTATGGGTGGATGGCTTCGTGAAGCGCATGGACATTAAAACTTGTTGCTGGTCAAAGTGGTTCATTGAAATCGAGACCATTAAGGCCGTAGGCCACCAAGGAAGAAGAAGAATAATTTTATTGGAGTACATGCCGTTTTGCGGTATATACAGGGTGTTTCAGAATAAGATGCTGAACCTTAAGGGTGTGAATCCTTAGTTGATTGTAAGAAAAAAAGTTTAAATAAACCTATGACGTAAACCTCCCAATTTTTGAGTTACAGGGTGTTAAAGTTTTAAGAAAAAAATCGTTTTTTTATCATAACTTTAATAACTTCCTAGATATTTTTATAAAATTTGACACACGCCTTCTAAGCATTAACAGTAAGTTTTTTTATGTAGAAGATTTTTTAATTTTTTTACTAGTGGCTTCCGTACAGGATGTGGTCTAGATAATTTTGGAAAAATATTATGCACGCCACAGCTATTTTTCAAAATAAAAATTATTTTCTAAATCCCCATTCATTTTAGGGCAAATTTGATTTCTTAACCATTTTTCGTACGACTAACGGTTTTCGATGAAAAAAATAAAAAGCATTTAATGCGCATATTGAGAAAACAATGCCATGATTAAATAAACATTAAAATTAGGAATGACAAAATAAATATTTTTTTACAGGTTACCACTGACTGAATTCCCCTTTAATTTCAATGTGCCGTAGTTATAATTTACTCGGTGAACATTGTGATATTTTTAACTTGTCTTTAAACCAATACTTTAGTAAAATAAGAGCCTTACCTTAAAATGTATTAAAATTATGTTACACTGTATTTAATAATGTATATCGTTTGTATGGATTGTATGGAAGTTTGTCTGTTGGATTAATAACCGATTATTATTATTATTATTATTATTATTATTATTATTATTATTATTATAATAATAATATTTCCTTTAACCTAAATAAACATTATTATTATTATTATTATTACTATTATTTTACTACATAGGCTTAAGTAGGACATGTTTATGGTTTAATATAGTATAAAGTGAATTTATACCAAAAAATACTGTGTTGGTTAGCTGGCCGGTGAACCGAGCGCAAATAATGCATGTTTCCCTTTCTCGGCGGGGTGGCCGAAAACTGGGAAAATATTGCCATGTAAAGATGTCTTTCTCTGTTATTATAGATCTTATATACCTGTCATATTTTGTTACACTGATTATTCAGACCGTATACATAATCTAACTGCCAGTTTTCGGCCACTTTGTTCTTAAATGGGCGCGAAATATGAATATACGTATTTAAGGTGAATGATACCAGTTGTCGTCCTCTCGCCTAAACTCTTTATTTTTCAGATGTCTGGAGAAAGGAAACACGCGAAAGTGAGGAAGCAACCTCTCAAGAAATTAAATAGGAGAACATTTTTCTCATATTCTGTTGAAGCTGTAAGATTAGTGCATTGTGCAATAAGAGAAAACAACATAAGTGTAAGGGAAGCGAGTCGTCAATTTGGAGTATCCAGAACAACCATTCAAGACAGATTAAAAGAAAGAACAAAAAGAAGTGTAACCAAAAGAGAGGAAGAAAATCTCAAAAGGATAAACATAATTCTGACAAAGCAAAAAATAATAATGACGAAACTAAAAAAAATACTGAGGAAACCAAAGAAAATACTGACGAAACCAATAATAGTACTGAGGAAACCCAAGATAATACTGACGATACAATAACTCAGAGGAAGAAGCTGCAATGTGCCTTATGTGAGGAAGACCTCATAAGTGACACAGAAGATGACCTGGAAAAAAATATTGGCTGTGATTACTGTACCGGCTGGTATCATCTTAAATGTACACTCTCTAAAAATGAATTAGTCAAAAATGACCACAGGTATAAGTGACTGCTTTTTTACTAACACCATGGTGCCCAACATTTAACAGCCAATAATTATGTAAAATTATCTTCTGAATCCGAAAAACCCGTGTAAAATTAAAAAAAAAGTAGAGCATTTTTTTAGATATAGTCAATTCCTTATTATATGGAAAAGCATATCTCAAAAACTTTTGACGATATTTTCAGGGGGCAATTTTACATGGAAATTAACTGCTAAATATTTGGGATACAGATTGCTATTGACGAGAATTATTAGTGGCTGCTTTTTCGCTTTGACAATTAGTTATTTTTGACTAATTCATTTTAAGAGAGCAGAGTTATTTGATTTAGCATATGAAGTTGCCGCTGCAAAGGACTATAAATGCACAGTAAAATATATGCAACTAATTAAGCAACACCAATTAGAGTTCACGCAGGTCCACACTAAATAGTGTTTTTTCCTAAAACTAAAATTATTTTGTAGTTTAATTTACCCCAAGTAAGCGTGTATGATTTAACACTAGAGCACTGAGGATAAAGTAATTTTACACTGTATTAAAAAGTGTTAATTTAGCTAAAATCGTGTCCTTTAACAATTCCTGGGTAAATTTCCACTTTTAAAAATGTACTTTTGTTCAGTGTAAATTAACACTACTTTGGAAAGATTATAATTTTAGAAAGGTACTTTTACTCTTTTAGTGCAAACTTCTTGTTTGACTACTAGTGTAAATTAACACTATTTGAATAAAACCTATTGGTGGTAGTGAATAAAACGAAAAGATAAATAAAGAGAAACATTTATTTGAAACAAAAATCTATGACATATTTAAGAAAAGCGGTGCCTTTTAAAATAAAATTTTATATTTGGGTTCAATTAACCAGCTGCCTGAGTCGTATGGCTGGCTTAAGCAAAATCGTTCCTTAAAAAGTAAAAGGTTTATATCAATGCAACTCAATGTTAACTTGTAAGCAAAGAATTTTCTTGAGAAATCATCAGTAACCCATTTTTCTGGGTGATCCCATTGGTACTCAGTTGTCATGACGCGTCAGGCGGCTGTAAATTCGGGATTTACCACACGTGTACAATTAAATATACATATAAATAAATATAATTTAATAAACCGATTTATATATATATATATACAGGGTGTTATGTAATTAATGTTATATATTAAAATACTGAATACCTTTTGACACATTTATATATTGATTTTAATTTTAATAAAACCATTTTTAATATAAACCAAAAATTCATTTATAAAATATTTGTACTTGTTTTGTTGGTAATCGTTTGCATAAAGTTTTAATATAATAAATTCTTGATGTGTATTCACAAGTTTATCCTAAATAATACTATGAAATTTGAAATTAAACTTGCTGGATTTAATTTTAAGTGGTGTAAACAACTGATAAATTCTACATTATCAAAACTTTGAATTTGGCCTAGACAGTATTTGTTGTTTAATTATCACAATAGTCAATAATTAATAATTAGTAGGGATGGGTTTTTAGTTATTTTACCTTTTTTTCAACCGATGTAACTATTTGAAAACCAATAATGCCAAAATGTGTTTTAAAAGATTTTCTTTTTATATGAACCTAACTTGTTTTCACATTTTTTACCTTTTTTGGAGGTTTTTGCTTTAAACTACCTTTTTATACTTTTTTACCTATTTTTTAACCTTTTACCTACCTTTTTTACCTTTTTTGGAAGTTTTTGCTTAAAATTACCTTTTTATACTTTTGTTACATATTTTTTAATTTGTCAGTTTATTTTCACCTATTTTTAATCATTTTTACTTATTTTATTTTTATGTGTTCTTTTTAAATTTTGCGCCAATATTTTATCCAGGGCGTGCAACTCAACGGTATAGATTTTTTCTTATGGTCACAGACTGTAACAGTAACTTTCTTTGCAGTTACCTTCTTTGTAGTGAGCTTATGTTCTGTCATAGAACTTCTGTGTAGTGAGTGTCACTCAGTGAAACACAGTTTATTGCATAGAAATAGTTTATTGTGGGTATGTTGAACATACTATACTATACTATGTTCTGTGTTTGGGTACGCGGCTAAACAAAACTATAAAAAATGCCCAAAACCAAAGAAAATCCTCTAAATAAACTCAGCAGTTGGATAGAGGGGACGAATAAGATTTTTCTATTGACGGAAAAAAGTAATTTTGTAGAGTTTGCTGTAAAATTGTAAGGACGTTGAGGTTATGTTAAAACATCTTTCTTTAATTTATATACATTTAAGCTATATGTTTGTTACTCTAGTAGTAAATTTGGTAAATATCAGGTATTCCCTGTTATATTTTCAGTTCCTTATAGCTTTCATTTACTATTGGTCAGTTTATAAAAAAAATATTTTTTCTACTCCCACCTTTAAAATGCCCTTTATCGTACATGTTTCCATGACACTGAGTGACCTTTTAAATACACATTGACAAGTTGTGGCTTTACGGCGCTTTAGTCACGGGCTGAAGTTAGTAACAGGTTTTTAGTCACGGGCTGAAGTTAGATTTAAGTTAGTTGACAGTTGTCAAATGTCATACAATCGTTAAAATAAAGTGCCTTTCTTTT